AAATGAGGGTCGTAATGGACTTTTATTGACACTTGGCCAATCACAGGCCGGCGCCCGCAGGTTTACAGCTGTCTTACTCATCCGGCCTTTCAAGGGCCGGTGGAGACGCTGGAGACCGAAAAAGAAAATGTTCTGGTTTCACGATACAAAAAAGGAAAAAACACGGAAATTTTCAAATAAATAAATGTTCAAATAACGGTCCCAAAACATAGCAAGCCAACTTGACCTCTTCATAATTGTAATTCACTGATTGACAAACGTTTCATTATATTTGAAAACCACTTGTAAGTTAGAAATCTCTCAGTATGGATTTCCTAACACCACGATTGCCAGGAAGTCAGAAGCAATCACAAAGTAAACAAGTTCCCCGGGCCAAATCAATCCAAGGGAAAATTTGTTTTAGAGCATAAATTCTCAGAGTTTCTGGATAGTGTGTGTTCTCCTGTTCCCTTGACAGGGAGCGGTGCCTCCAGAAACGAGCTCCCCGGGCCTCAGAAGGTCCGCGGGTGGCTTCCGGCGCGCGTTTGTACTCGTTTCTGCTCACAAACATGCCCTAAGCCTGCGCGGATCTTCTTACCTACACAGGCAGGCAGGGCAAGGACACCCTTCAGGTGTCCACCCAGCAATCGCTCGGCTAACGGCTCAGGAAGTCCTATTGTTTCCGGGCAGCAGGTGTCACTGTAGACACTGCAGGACGCCCTCGCCAGAGACTGGCCCCGTGACAGCTGTCCCCAGCGAGGTGATCCTACTGCCTAGGGACAATTTCCAACCTTCTCTGTTTACTTCCACTCGTGCGTGGTGTGTGTGTGTGTGTGTGTGTGTGTGTGTGTGCGCGCGTGAGAGAGAGATGGTGTTGGTACTGGGGATTGAATAACCCAGACTGCGCTGAGTTACATCCCCAGCCCATTTTATTATCTTTTTGTTATTATTTTGAGATAGTTGCTAAATTGCCCAGACTGGGTTCAGACTTGAGATCCTGCTGCCTCAGCCTCTCAGAGAGCTGGAATTACAGACATGCACCACTGTGCCCAACGAAGTCTGTTCTTATTTACTGGGCATTTATTAAGCAGCGACTGCATGCTCGATAGGACACCAATGAGAAATGAATGTTGTCTCTCTCGCCTGGCTCCTGCCCGCACTGCCATCCCACACGTCTCCTTCTGACTTCTGCAGCAGCCCACTCACCTTCCCACCTCCTCGTCACGCTCCATTTCATCTACCAGCAGCTTCCGGCACATCTTTCTGTCTTCTTTTGGCTTCCGGGGGCTGTCACATGGGTCTCATCCTGGCACCTAACCCACATTCCAGAGCATCACGGCATCCCATGCAACCCGTCAGGCTAGGACAGGTTTTGAGTTAAGCCTTCTCGCCATCCCAGCTCCCCGGCTCACAAAGTGCGCGGCCCTGAACAAAGAAGGGTGACCCGAAGTCACTATCTTCTCCTCTGAATAACTGCGTTGATAATACTGCATTGAGTCATGTGACATTGCCAGCAGTCGGCTGTTTGGGACCCACAGAAAGGATAGCTTATTATGGCTAGATAGAATTGTTCCTGCCCTCGGACTCGTGGGGACCGAGTGAGATTGTGTCTGTGTGTGTGCACCCATGTTATACATGTGCGCGTGTCCTCTCTCCACCCTCATCAGTCAGGCACGAGGAAAGCCTTCACAGGTGAGAGACATCTCGAAAAGTGGACACAGTGTCTCGGCTCCACCTTCTGGCTCCTAATTGCAGGCTAGTAACAGTTTCCCCGGTGACTGTCACCTGCCTGCTCTCCCCCAGCCCCCGGCGCCGGGGAGGTGCATGAGCCCTCAGCCGTGCCGCCTCCA